ATGCCTTTGTCACCGAGATAATAGAGTTGAGCCTCCGTACACCCTAAGCGTCTGTAGCCGCAAGTAAATTCAAAATATCATGGCGTGTGGGGGTGGTTTCCGTTTGGGATGTGTTGCAGTTATTAAACCACAAATAAACATATGTGCAGCTAGCACTGTTGGTGAACCTATGACACGCGTGTCAGAGATGACACATGAACTCATTTTTTTTGTTGATTTTTTGTTAAATTGCATTTAAATATATAAAATATCAAAAATATAAGTCTTTGTTTTACTATGGTTGCAGATATCAAAAAATTTCTATATGTGACACGGCACCAGAGTTAAGTTAGGGTTTTTCAAAATGCTGACACGTTGAACTCAAAAGGTTCGCCATCACTGAGCTAGAGGCAGGGAGAGAACAAGCCCCCAGCCTGCCAGGGTTCCCCTGCAGGGCCCCGCCCTGGGGCTCTGTGTTTTCCTCACCAAGTCCTGCGGGGACTGTTGAGAGATCAATGCTAGCAGCCCCTCCCTCTGACCTTCCCCTCCTGTGTGACAATCTCCCCGCTGTTGTCCAGGCCGCCCCAACCCGCAGGAGGGACATAGGAAACCACCAGTTGGAGCATCAGAAGCCCAGGCCAGGCGGCTGTGGGCAGCTGCACCAGCCCAGCTTGGGAAGAGGCGGCATCTACCGACAGGGGGGCTTACAGCCTAGTCCCCCAGAGTCGTCCACATAAAGTGTTCATCAAATGGTAAATGCTCAGCTAACGTGGCTGTTTGTGTAGGTATTTTGGGCAAGGCAGGCTTTGGAAGGTATGAAGGGTCTGTTAGGGACACCGGAAATGCCACTGCGCTTCCTGGTGCCTGGGAGGGGGAAGACCTAGACTTCCCTGGTGGGTCAAGCAGTCACGCACACAGCTTGCCTGGGGCCATCCCCACTTATGCCCGTTGTCCCAGCGAAGCTACTGGCAGAGTTCCTGTCGTCCCTCCAGAGTGTCCTAGTGCAGGTGAGTGTTTATATGGCCACTGTGTGTGTGGGCCACGTGAAGTCTGGTTGCTCATTGGTGCTTATACAATGTAAGAAACGGGATAACTTAAATATAGAAGGATTTAAACATTAATAACATACAAGCTGAAGAATAAGAATTTCAGGACCAAGAAATCAACCTTGATAATAAATAAAATAAAAACTCAAATTAGAAAGGAAGAGAGACCATAGTGTAAGAAGTTTCCATATAAAACTTATGTGAAAAGCATTTGGTACTAAAAGAACTGAAATTTCAAAAAAAGTATTTAAAAGTGTTACTCTAAGAAATGCAATAATCTTAAAAGACGAAACAGAGGGCCTGAAGATTAAATAAATTTTAAAATAAGACAAGACTATACATAGAAAACAAAACAATAAAAATAGAGTAAGAAAAACTCACTAAAACAATATATACCTCTGTACATAACACACACACACGTTTCTCTTTTTAATATATTTATATATACATATTTATCTCCTTAGGAAAACCAAAAACTAAAAGAGAAATGGTGAAACAATGAAAACCAGGCCGTGGTTGGAAGCTAGGGAATAGAATTCTGTGCACCGTGGTTTGCTCAGAGTGCAGGGCCCAAGCAGAGTCCCTGTGGGGAGAAGAGGTGTGAGGGCACCTCTTCTCCCAAACCATAGCAAACCCCTTAAACCGTGTTGGTGAGACGCTGCATAGTTGAATATATGCCGCTCAGATCTCCAAATGCCTAAACATTGTATGTTATTGTTTTCATACTTTTTTGAAAAGTGGTCATGTGAAAAAACTCTTCCTTAAAAGTACCTGGTTAATGAAAACACCCCAATCCCAAAATCTAGGATAGCAAAGGGCGTTGTTTACAAAGACGATGAAATCAACAGGAAGAACAGCTGCTTGGTGTAACAATCTGCCCAGCACCAGACCGAATCAACAATATTGCTGTTTTTAAAAAGCAGATGCAGTAAGTTTGTTGAACAGGCGCTATGAAAAATGAGAGCAATTTGGTCCGCTCATCAGAATGCCTCCATCA